ATTGTTATTCAAAAATTGTTTTCAAATTGACATTACATAAATGTGTCCACTTCTCTTCCTACATCTTTCCTACAGCTGAGCTGAATGGGTTTTATGAGGCTAAGTATTTTATGCCAATATTTATTGCACTAAATGAATCCATATACTGGTTTTAGGTTAGCAACTTCTGCAATTTAAAGGCTACCTAAAGCTCAACACTTTCAGTTGACATCAACTTTCCCTGTATTATGAGAGAATTGCTAAAGGAGTTACTAGCATGTCAAAATATGAATGGCTCTGATATGTACTTTAGGTGGGTCCAATGAGCATTTTTTCCCATCATTGCTGTCCGTGTGCAGTACAAGACACTCTCTAATAAGAAGAGAAATATAGAAACTTGATTCCAGATTGGTTGGGCATAAAATGACAAATAAATAAAACATTTGTATAATCACATGATAATACGTATAGTGCCATTCTAAAGCATTCGCCTTCTTCCAATGAAGTCCCATTTTGTTAAGTTACAAATGATATATACACATTTTTAAATGAATCATTGTATTCAAATCTTGAATGCTCCCATTTGTTCAAAAGTTAGCAGAACCTGTGGCACAAAGCCAGCTTGTCCATTTGATGGTTAAAAGTTAAGTGATCAAAGAATCTCATCCAGCCATTTTCTGAGAGAAGCCAGGGTATTGGCTTCAATAACACAGATAGGCAGCTTGTTCCAATCTCCCACAACACTTTGGGGAAATGCCTGCTGTTCTTGGTTTTAAAAGCTCTTCCAAGTAGTTTCCACTTGTGTCCTCTGGTTCATATTTCACTGTTTACTCTGAAGTCCTCTGGGTTGACTTTCTCAGGTGATTTGAGGATTCTGAATGTTTCCCTTTGTAGTGCAGGACATTCATTTAAGCCTCTCTGTGTTGTTAGAAAAACATGTACTGTACTACTGATTTAGGGAACCAAGTACTGTACAAAACCTTACTATTCAGTTTGTAATATGTGCTGCAATGGCTAACAATAAAGAACAATGCTATTGTATGTAAAGCACAGCTGAAATAGCATTACTCCCAACTAATTATTAAGTGTAGTTTTTAAGTATTCACGAGAGCAGGAAACAAACGTGAAAACATACTCACGAGCTAATCCAATGACAGCTCCTCGCCAGAACAGGGGACGATTTTAGCGTCAGCCTGAAATATGGACAGAGTGTATGCGCGCAAATTTTATTTGCCTCGTCGTCTGTTGCGTGGGGGGGGGGGGCGTGCATATGACTCATACTGTAGCTGTTCTATCCTCTTTTGAAATCAGTTTCACAAAGAGTTAACCCGGAAACCTCTTTTTAAACGCTAATCCCCGCAGCCCTCGTCCATATTCTGATGAAAACAATCAGCAAGCGAGGCTGGGCTGGCCTGCTGACAGCCGGCTGCTCCCGGGGAGATCGCCTCGCCTCAAACGCTCTAATTCCTGTGAGGATTAGGTTGACACGAAACAGGACCAGATTTTTCCTCCTTTCTAGCTCGTTTTCTCTCGACGCGATCTTGATCATTTTCATCCCCTCCCCCTTCAGAAACAACCTATACAGAAGATGGCCTGCAGTTTTTTTTTAGAAATGTTTATAGCTTAGAAAACAAGATATTCTTTTTAGAAAATCAGGACGTTCATATACAGTATAAAGTTGTATGTTATTCTGAGAGGCTGGTTTTTATACAGTTTTTTATACCATTGTGTAATTTTGAATGAATATTAGAAAGTTCAATTTAAAATGTTTTGAGCACTCCTATATTATTCTGCTCATCTGTGTCCGTTTATATAGATATTTGGTTAAACACTAGTGGGTATCATGGTATTCACTATAATGTCACAACGTTAGGGTTCTGGGCTGGATTCGAGCTCGGGGCACCTGTCTGTGTGGAGTTTGCACGCTACCCTGTTTTGTTGTGTCTTATTGCTGGGTGCTCTGGTCTGCTCCCACCTCTCAAAGGCAGACATACTGTATACTGTAGGTCAAGTTTGATTGTCTACTATAGCTTGTCCTTTTCTATGCAGCTACAAGGAGATCTGTTTGCTTGTTGGGTTTGTTCCCTAATAATAATAACATCAATTTAAATGAATAAACACCTTTGGGGCATATTCAACTATCATACAGATATCTAATGGAGGACCAAATCATTTTTCTAGTACTACGGGGCATACATTTATTCTAAATTCTGTCATATAAATTAGTGAAATTATGACCATCCACTAAATAAAGCACATATTCAGTATGCTGTATTATGAAAACTGATGAAAACAACCTTTTCTAAGGATGCTGCAAGCAATGTTACCATATATTTAAATTAAGAAACAAATCAGAATTTAGATTTATATCCATAATTTGTATTTTTGTGCAGACTTCCATAGGGTATAATTAATTAAATACAGTACATACTGTACATTCAGACGTGCAGTTTACCAGTAGTGTCACCTGGGTGTTGAGTACAGTCTTTTCCAAGTAAATAGGGAGACAATAGACGCAAGATGCACATTTTGAGTCTTGTGCTGAAATGTTTTTAGGACCAGTGTCTCTCATGGAAGGCATTACTCACATGTCAGCAACAAAATCCTGGGAATACAGAGGAGCAAGACATTGAATCTGCGCTAGCATGATCTTAAGGCGACAGTCAGTCTACTGATTGCATATACAGGTATCATCTTTGACCCAGTGATGCCTTTGCCAGCTAGGTGGTGGGATGTACAGTATATGACAGAACTTTTGGCAGCGTAAGGAAATGTGGCAAACGGGACTGTCAGGACACTCCAATGTGTCCCTCTATCAGCAGGGGATCTGCCTGTTCTTTTCCATCTCTTAAAAGGTAGACTTACTGTATGACAGGTGACAGGTGTAGCTCAGGTGGACATTCTTCCAGGATGGGACACTTTGATGTTTGACCGATTCAAGAAGTGGCTGCACCTTGGCTGAGCTGAAGTTAGAAAATTTGAGCTTTTGCAGAGCTAGGGAAAGCACTGACACACACCACTTTTTTTTCTCCCAGATGGGCAACCTGGTAGAAATGTTGTACTGCACCCTGCTTTTTTAATACTGGAGAGTTATTTGTGAGTGGTTCTGGGAGAAAAAAAGTACTGTATATTTCTATTCTCATGACTCTAGTGTTGCAAGTCAAACTGCTGTTGAATGAAGTCGGTGGTGCAGGAGTACACAGGCTGAAACCCAGATATTTGGGCTGATTCCAGATCGAGTCCTCAGCTCACACAATTATTTATGCCATTGTGAATGCACTGAACCTCAGCTAAAGTACACCAAGCAGCTACAGCAACTGACATGCTCCTTTAAATCACTGACATTTCATTTCTAGATGGAAAATAATTTAGATTCACAGGCATTTCTGAGAATATCCACCTCCATTTAGAAAAGTATGACAATTATTATTGATAATTGTCAAGACCAACACATTCACTGGGAGCTTTTCCAAATGTTTGACAGTGAACAGACTGCCACTAGTCTAATATCAGAGTGTTATTTATGAGTGTGTATGGAAAAAAAATAAATGGATTTCTCTTTGCTTGATCGGAAAAGTATACAACATAAGCCCATGGGAATGTAAAATCCAGTTAAGGGAAGCTGAGCTTCCCACGCTGAATTCAAATTCAGACATATGGGACATCTGTTTCTTTTAGTTTTTAAAACATGGCCCCAGACTTCCAAACTGGGATTAAAACAATCATTTTTACATTTCAGATAAAAATAGATTGAATATGTCAGAGAGTGTTTATTATTTTGTGGTTCCCAGCAAAAGAACAAAAATGCCTTTTTGCTTCAGCTGTGTCATGGATCTGTTTATATATAACGAGCTTCAAAAGAAACTTAATAGCGCTATTGGTGCATGCATTTTTTCAAACAAATAAATTATGAGGGTTTAATCAATGGATATTGATTAAATGTTTTTGGAATTATTTTGATTAATTTATAATTCAAGACTGACCAAGATACACTCGAGTGACTTTGTTGCTTAAATACTGAATCACCTCATTATTGAGAATGCTGATCTGGTTGGCACTCATGATGAGATGAAAACCGCAAAAGAAAAATAAAGAAAGGAAACAATGTACTCTGCCTATCAAGAGAATAACAACGTTATGCCAGTGGAATGTCGGAAATCGGAAAGTCACCTCAGATGGATTTACCAGGAATGAATCCAAGTACTCTTTAGGGATGAACCAAGGTTTTATGTAGTTCACCTGACAGATTTCAGTGAGACTTGTGCAAAGGTCCAGAACAATACGCTAATCATTGTGTACAACTGTTCCGGTCCCGGGACATCACCTGCTGTCCTTCCTGTAGGCAGGGATCCTCATGCAATAAAGATACAAACCAAAGAAAAAATATGTAAGTCAATGATGATGTTGCCAGTAAACGGCCATGTATACTACTGTAAATGGACACAATCTGACGTTTTCTAACTTATTTTCTATTATTATTGTTGTTGCTGTTCGTTTCGTGGTAATTAAACTTCATAAGTCGTATATTTTTCTCACACGTGCGATTTTTTGCTTTCCTTAACTACAGTACGAAAATACATCACTTCTTAAAATATTGAAATACCGGAGCCAGAAAAATCGCTTAAATTTTAAAGACGGCTGGGACCAGACACAGGCAATGTCAGACATTATTTATAGACAAAATACTTTATTTTAAGATGATGTCATTTTATATTTTTATGTCATTGTGTTGTTGGTTTCCTCCATAGTGAAAATATACAATAAATCGGGGGAAGAAAACCTCACGATCAAGGAAACAGAAATCCAGAACTGACAAACAACAAGATTTTATGTACAGCAGTTTACTTATGAAGGATATTACATATGTAACCCCAAGCGTTTTTTTTCTTTACATCACAGCGAAAACAAGTCTGTTGTGCAATTGATTTCTGGAGCTGAATTAAGAGACGCGTAAAAACGCACTGACGGGGTCTCCTCCATTCTGTTTCAACTCACCTCCTTATTTCTGCGTGAGGAACAGATTGCCCGACACCACAAGACATATTGTATTCAAAGGATTCCCTGACAGACCTGGTCGTTGAATACCTCTTCTGACGTCAGGAATAATAATTACTTTTTCATCCGGGTCTCCACTCTCCTCTTATGGTATTATTTACTTTATAAAGACGCGGGAGCTTGCACTGAGCTTAGTTTTATATATGTATATTATTTCGAGGGGAGGAGAGTGTTTTGGATTATATCCAGTTTAATCTGGAGTTGATCTGTTTATCTGAAGAAACGTGTAGACAGCGAGTGAGAACATAACTGCTACTACTCAATTCTCTAAAGGAGATGAATAATTAATGGATTCGGAATGGAGATAGCCTTGGTAAGTTTTGAAAACGGTGGGGCTACTACAATAGGGAGTGGAGGCAGCACAAACGCTCTCAATCTTCCCCAAGCATCATTTGTACAATCTGGGCTCAACGACGACTACAGGAAAGAGATCAACACTTTCAGCAGCTTGCAACAGGGCTCCTGGAAAATGAACGACATGAACAACACTTTCAGCAGTAGCGAAAATGCCATTGATGCGCTTTTACGGGCAGATCACAGCCCGCATCTATTCGACGAGGATGCGCTGGATATGGATTTGGACAACGAGAGCAATGAGCGAGTACTGATAAACATTGCTGGACTGAGGTTCGAAACTCAGCTGGGCACACTCAACCAGTTTCCAGACACTTTGCTGGGAGATCCAGACAAAAGGATAAAATACTTTGATCCACTCCGAAATGAGTACTTTTTCGACAGGAACCGACCTAGTTTTGACGGAATTCTTTATTTTTATCAGTCGGGCGGCAAAATTCGGAGACCAGTGAATGTCTCCATAGATGTGTTCGCCGATGAAATTCGGTTTTATGAGCTGGGAGAGGAAGCGATGGAGAGATTCCGAGAGGACGAGGGATTTATTAAAGAGGAGGAAAAGCCTCTGCCTCAGAATGATTTCCAGAAACAGGTATGGCTCATTTTTGAGTATCCGGAGAGCTCCAGCCCTGCTCGGGGAATTGCAATTGTTTCCGTTCTTGTTATCCTCATATCTATCATTACCTTTTGTTTGGAAACCTTACCGGAGTTCAGAGATGAAAGCGAACTGCCTCACTCTGCTAGAAGGAACAATGTTACTCAGGCTCCGACGTCAAACACGCTCTCCGACCCCTTCTTTATCATTGAGACTACCTGTGTGATATGGTTCACTTTTGAGCTTATTGTGCGTTTCTTTGCCTGCCCAAGCAAATCTGTGTTCTCAAAAAACATTATGAATATAATAGACATCGTGGCCATATTTCCTTACTTTATCACCCTCGGAACAGAACTAGCTGAGCAACAAGGCAATAATGGGCAACAAGCCATGTCACTGGCTATTTTAAGGGTCATTCGGTTGGTTCGGGTGTTCAGGATTTTCAAGCTTTCCAGACACTCAAAAGGGCTACAGATTCTGGGGCAGACTCTAAAGGCCAGCATGAGAGAGCTTGGTCTTTTAATCTTCTTCCTCTTTATCGGTGTCATTCTGTTTTCAAGCGCTGTTTACTTTGCAGAGGCAGATGAGCCTGAGTCTCATTTCTCCAGCATCCCTGATGCTTTCTGGTGGGCTGTGGTAACCATGACAACTGTTGGCTATGGAGACATGAGACCCATTACCGTTGGAGGGAAAATAGTCGGCTCCTTGTGTGCTATTGCTGGCGTTTTGACCATTGCCTTGCCGGTCCCCGTTATCGTGTCCAACTTCAATTACTTTTATCATAGGGAAACGGACCAAGAAGAGCAGCCAGCTCTCAGAGATGACCCAAGCAGCGGCCATGCGACCCCTTGTAATGAAATGAAGAGGAGCCGGAGCAGAACCTCTCTCAACAAGTCCTCGGGAAACCTCGATAGCAGTGATGGGATTTCTGTTGGACGGACTGTGGAAAAAGCTAATTTAAAAGCCAACAGTAACATGGACATAAAAAGATCCCTGTATGCCCTTTGTTTAGATACAGGCAGAGAAACAGACCTGTAGCTAAACGAGCCTTTTCTGTTGTAGTGACCGGCTTAGTTGGTGTTTTGCTTTTGAAAGCATTTTGTTGTCGTTTCTCTTTATGTAAAAAAATGCCCAGAGTAACTGTCAATCTATACAGTATTTGTACTAAAATATGACCAACACTTTGTTGAAAAAATAGTTTGAAGAAGTTGACTCTATTATAAAAATCAAAAATATTATTCCAGGCTGTGATTATCATGACGAAAGAGCAGTATTTCGAAGTTCTTTAAGAAACATACCTTACATAAATGTGATACTTTGTATCAAAACGAAATATGTTAGACTATGTGTAATAGAAAAAGAACATTCAAGTTTACATTTTTTTAATTTATGAAGAATTCATCGTAATATGCGGGCCTTCATCAAGAAGTATTACCGACTAAAATGTCGTTTACATAAGATAAATAGAATTTGAATGCTGAAGGCTAATACAAGCAAAGTTATCTTATTATTCTGGTTATGCCCCCAGGCACTTTTTATTTCTCGGAATAAGTCAATATTTATATGTAAATGGTATATATAACATAATCTTAAATATTTAATACTTTATTTAGAAATATTATTTATTGTTTAAGCTTTGTAAGAAGAACCCTGTTAACCATAAGCATTTCAATAAGCTTTTTTTTTTTCAAAAGATCATTTCTATTCGATGCTAGTCATTGGCCCTTTATCCGTTTTATCATTAGTTGATTTGTATTTTTTCAGTCCTGGGTGATTTTTACAAAATAAACAGATAAAACAGGACAACATTGGACGGTTTTGTTCAGAAGTTCCCATCATTGCAACGCAAGAACGTTGACATATTTTACGGGACCTTGGATTACGGAGTTAAGGTCTACATGCAAGGTTCTGCCCATTTGAAATAATATACTAAGACAAAGATTCCTTGTAAAATTGTACTAAAGAGCACTTCTTATTTTCGTAAAAACTGGAATGGAAATGACTAAAAAGAACATCGGAGCAAGGGATTTGCTGGAGAAAACTCCTACACATTTATGGAAGATTCATATTTGCGAAGGAGGACAACTGAGAAAAAAAAATCAAAGAAAACGTCGTTTGAAAGCTTCCTCATTCTTATGACAAACACAAAAGGTTAGTATCATATTAAGTTCTTTAATTTTATTAGAAATGTGCTTCAAATGTTTTGTATATACTGTATGTACATGAAATGTTAAAATTATTTTTGAGGTCTCCAGTGTCTCATCGATAGCTATCTTCTGACAACATAATGGTCAGTTTTATGTACACCGCGGGTACATGTTTTGCGGGTATTATCTGGATATTTTCCGCTCTTGATAAAGTTACCATTAGCCATGCTGGTAGGAATTTATGTGTAAATCCTAATTTTGCGGCCATCAATTTAGGAAGAAATGCCTTAGACTTTCAAGACTTCAGAGGAGTCTGATTCAACCGCCACATGGTTTTCAATTCTCCCCATTTACCATAGCTAGAAAAATTGTCAAGGAGAGGAGAAACGTGACTTAGCGTTAGCAATTAAAGATTGAAATGGGTCCCATCACTCGGTCAGGGCCGCTTGCGCAGCGTACAGGTAAGACGCACGGAGCTGTTCTTTCAGAACCATTAACACACCCAGCTGCAGAATGAATGAGGGCGCGGAATTAGTCTTGCAGCCGCCCCTCGCAATTGTACACGCATCGAATCAGTAAAGCTGGGTTTTTCATGCACTTTTAATGCGTGTTTGTGGCTGCATTTCTCCTGCTAGGCTTTGCAGCATTTTAGACGCTAGAACTTCAGCATCTCATGTCATTGTATCGAACAACAACGAGTAAAGACATTTAAATGTACCACGTCTGTTTTTGTTTACGTGAGAATAAAGAGAAAAGAAGCGTGGCCACTTGAATTTAAAACTATGACAACCGTGGCCCTCACATGAGTCACTCATCTCTTAAAATCGCCATTCGATGCCATACAATTTACATTGCATTACCGCAATGTACTGCATGTACAGGTATGTAAAAGCAAAAGCGCGGGAACTGGGTGATTTACGATTGCTTCTAGATACAGTACTTACGATGAAGCACAGAAAGTTTTCAGCAGTATATTTAGTACGCACTGATGTAACATGACTCCATTTGAAACGCTTCAAGACAGCGTTCGCAAAGAAAAGATCCGTCTATACTCCTTTTGAATACAGATTTTGAATATTAGGATCAAATCTCCTTTGTTCTAGATTAAAGAGATCTAGTTCCTTTTCTCCAGCTGCTCTGGCTTCCCCCTGTCTGTGGTAATTAGTGCCTCTAAATTATTCCTATGCGTGTGTGCCCTGTGATGTTGTAACAACCTACCGTACACTGTATGCTTCTGGGGTTGGCTCAGGGCTGCCTAAGCTCTCACCAGGAAAAAGCCACTTTCTGGTAGATGGTTGGGTGCATAACCTTGTGCCATACTGTATATTCGCCAATCCTTATCGTAGACTTGCTTTAGGGTGTACTTTGAGATCATGCTCATCGCGAAAAAGGTACAAGGTAAAAATTAAAAGTGGTTTTCTATTGTCAACATGCTAGTCTCAGATTTTGCATACAATAAGGAGTGGTATGCTAATTGCGCTAATTGCATCACCATTGTGTACGGAAAAAGAGGATCATATTCTGACATACAACTTTTGTTTATACAGTAGTTAGTGCTTGTCTAGGTCAGGTTAGAAACATCTACAGGACTCCCATCTCCTTCTGGAACTTTCCCCATGTGAGTGTAGCAAGTTCAATCGCGAACTGTATTTCAAAGTTCTCCCCGAAGCGCCTGTCTGTTGAGGAGATATGAGATGAAAGCAGCCCAACCCCCACCCCCCGCTGACATGTATGCAAAAACTTACAGAAGTCATGGAGAATTCACATTGGAGCTCAATCCATTAAGCAAAGTTAACGGCTTAGACTTTTTGCTTGTTAAATCTTTATTACAGTAGCTGGTGAAATGCACCTGCAACTTCACAGTTGTCCACAAACTACTGTATATCTCTCTCTTGTGATCGTGCTTTTAGTAGGACTAAAATATATGAATTCGGAGTGTATTCAGTTTTTTTAAATGTTTTGCAGCTTATTTCTTATCACCAAGCATTTATAAACTTTAATTTTTTTTTACAAACAGAAGCTTAGTACAGTATGTTGCCCAAAGATAATTAAAATGGAATGGTTAATTTAGTCTTGAGGGAAAAGTTACATACATAGTCTAGTACAGTATGCCTGCTATTGGAAAATAAATTACAGTTACATTTCACAACATAGGATCCATATGTTTCTAAGGCTGGTGCATTATTCTCTACGGAAGCGCATTGCTGCCATCAGCAAAATAAATCACGTGAATCTCATAAATACGTGAAAATTATAACATTATTACAGCATAGTACATTATCTCATTATTACGAGATAGTACATTATCGCGTACTTTATGTGATAATCGTCATAATCACGTGATAGCACACTTGTCATACAATACATTTTATCATTAGTTGAATTTCAGTTTTAAGCAATGGAATCGATTACACGGTACAGTCTTTCTTGTTTCAGGATATGGTCTGAGTGTGGCCGTGCTTATAATCATTGTTGACATTAGCTAAAAAATATAACATTTCAATATGACTAAACCCGTCTAAAGTATGACCGTGCTGCTCGTTCCGCAGCGAAGGACATTGTCACGAACACAGTTCAAGCTGAGCTATCGGTAGCTTCTATAGGCGCTGTCATTGCATAATGTAATAGGTTTTTCATACACTCAAATGATCATTTGCATCTCGTAATTACGCAATGAAGGACTATCTTGTAAGAACAAACTAAATTTCTCATATAACGAGATACAGTACTATATTTTTTTTCCTTGATAGCAGCAATGCACATCCGTAATTCCGTAATATATAAAACATAAAGCAAAGCTTCACTCATATTGCTGAAATAATGCAATCATATAAAATTGTCACTTTTTCTGATTGTGATTAGAAACTATTTATCCTTTGCATGTTAACAGCAAAGATGTTGCTTGACATAATTGCACTAGTCTGTAAAAGTGTTTTTGGAGTTATGGAATCTTGTGTATTGGCGGATTTAATTCAGAACATCTTCTTTATTTAGAAATGTAATCTGTAATCAGCATAATTTTTCAATAGCCTTTTTCTTATCATACACTACAGCCTTCACGTTGTTAAAACGAACAGTTTTTAGCTTTAGAAATCAGTGCTTTAAGATGTCATATATTAAGTTTATTAATTGACATGTATCCAAAGTTCAGTGGTTGAGGCAGACATCTCTCTTTCTTTAGAGAGTCTCACAGTCATTTCATACGACAACAAAGCAGTACATTCAAGGCAGGCCCCAAACACAATGTGTGTTTTTGATCTTATTCCAAGTGACGTCTTGATTAAGCCTTGAAGATAAACTACAGATAAATCACTTTCACAGAAACTGTTAACACAAAACACAGCTTAATCCTTTCCTGCTACACCATGAAATGTGGTGTGCATTCATCTATTATTACCACATAATTTCACTCAATATTAATGTAATTTTTTAGCATAGTTGTTTTTAAATATGCAGTGTTACAGTATATTTACATTTAAGACTTCTTTCCACTCCACGCATCAAAATAAACAGTAGATGTTGCCAAGGATAATTTTTTTGGATGAATTGTAGGACAACAGAAGACTACTGACACTTTTGTGTTTCATAACAATTTTTAGTGAACAAGGTACTGTATTTAACAGGAAGTTTGTTCAATTCCAGCACATGCTTTGAAATTCTGTTACAGTATAAAAATCACAGAATAAACTTACACAGTTGTAGACAAAACTAAAAGGAGACAGAAGCTGCCAGAGAACTGAGCAGTGAAAAGCAGGGGCATGTACTGCAGCCCTTTAAGGTGTTTTGTCAAGAAAGTTGGGAATGGTGAAACAAAAATGTTTTTAAGCTTAGTTTCTGGAGAGGGTTTGGTGTGCAAGAGGTAACAATAGCAATACATGAATAACACGGCAAATACCGTAGATACAAACATTGTTTTTGCATTTTTTTATTTTTGCTCCTTTTCATTTTAGAAGTACTCAGCATTGATTTATACAATCTTGTGGTCTAGTAGTTTTAGGCGGTGTTAAAATGTCTAGTGACCATCCTCTTTTTGGGATGTATTTTACAACTGATGAATAATTGCCCTCTCAAAGTTTTTATATAACATCGATGTTGTTACTCTCCTTTAATGGTGTTTATACTTATGCTTCATGTATATAATTATTGAACTAATAAATCCCTGTCATTCTGAACTGTAAGAATCGAGGAGACTGCTTGCAATAAAACTTTACAGTGCCTTGCTAAAGTATTAATTTTCCGCATTCTATGGCTTTAAGGTTTGCACTCATGACACTGTGATGTACAGTATTCATTACTTTTTGTGTATTCATATACACAGCCCACTCCACATATTCAAAGCAAAAAAAACAAAATGAAAGAATCATGCAGATAATTAATCTGAAAGCAAAATGGAATCAATCAAATGGTGCAGACAATTGTCTTGACAGCCACATGCTCAGTTCGTTGAGTGACCTTGTCTGTGTGCAGTAATAGAGGTTCACATGATGTCAGAATAAATATGCATCTCTGTAAAGTAATGTAGTCAGGTAGATTCAACCCTTATGACCAAGGAGGTTTCATAACAACTTAGGGAAAAAGCTGTGTTAAAGTTTAGATCGGGAGAAAGTATGCCAAGAAACATTTCAAAGACTCTGAATATGTCTGGGAGCGTGGTGAAATGAGTCATTGATACTGTGCATGGAGGCACACACTATATCAGCCAGGTCCAAACTGAGCAGCCGGGTAAGGAGGAAACTGGTTAGGGATGAACACTGTGAGACCAAGGGTGACTTTGAAAGAGTTACAGAGCTCTGCTGCTGAGAAAGCAACGTGGCAGAGATTGAGCAAATCTGGCAAGACGAACGAGCAGAATAGCAGAATAGCACCAAGCAGGTGTGCAATGTTAGTACAGACTTCAGCAGAAATATTTGCAGTTGTATTTGCCACCCAAGGTGCTTCTGCCAAATACTGTCATCACGAGTCTGAATACTTACATTATTAATATACTGTATTTCCATGTTTTCT